GAAACTCACCAAAGGATCAATGGTGGTGGCAAAAGGGAGAGCATGTTGCTCATTATACAAGACACACATGAAAATGTGTGGAGGTCAACTGAACACAGTTGAAGATGAGGCTTCTCCAAATTTATGGCATAAAAGATTGGCTCACATGAGTGAGAAAGGATTGCAACTTTTGGCTAAGCAGTCCCTTGTTCCCATTGCCAAAGGTGGACATGTGAATCCTTGTGATGTTTGCCTATTTGGAAAGCAACACCGAGTTTCTTTTCAGAAGAATTTGACTCGGAAGGAGAACAAGCTAGACTTGGTCTACTCTGACGTTTGTGGTCCCCTAGAGGTAGAGTCGTTTGGTGGCAATAAATATTTTGTTACCTTTATTGATGATGCAACTCGGAAGACTTGGGTATACTTGTTGCGGAATAAAAGCCAAGTTTTTAGGTATTTCCAGCATTACCATGCTATGGTGGAAAGGGATGACAGGGTTGAAGTTGAAATGTCTCCGTACAGATAATGGAAGGGAGTACACCTCCAAAGAATTCAGAGACTACTGTTCCAAGCATGGCATGAGGCATGAGAAGACAGTTCCTGGCACACCACAACACAACGGTGTTGCAGAACAGATGAACCGTACCATTGTGGAGAAAGTTCGATGCATGCTAAGAATGGCAACTCTACCTAAGCCATTCTGGGGTGAAGCAGTCAACACAGTAGTTTATTTGATCAATCGGTCACCTTCAGTTCCTTTGAATTTTGAAATCCTGGAGAAAGCTTGGACGGGAAAGGACGTTGGATACTCTCACTTGAGAGTGTTCGGGTGCAAAGCATTTATGCACGTGCCAAAGGAATAGAGATCAAAGCTGGATGATAAAGCCCTTCCATGCATTTTTGTTGGATATGGTGATGAGGAGTTTGGCTATAGACTATGGGACCCAGAAAAGAAGAAAACTGTCAGAAGTAGGGATGTCGTGTTTCATGAACATGAGAAAATTAATGATTTGAAGGAAGAAAAAGCTACAAGAAGCTTTGGAGAGGGTGTAGAAGATCTAACATCGGCAAAAACTCCTTCAAGAAAAATTACAAATGAAGAAGAGGTGCAAGCACCAGAAGATGAGACAGAGGAGCCAACAATTGAAGAAGATGAAGCAAGTGTAGATGGGGGAAATGATGAGCAGGGGGAGCAACCCTTGCCACAGGAGGAAGAACCTCAGTTGAGAAGGTCCACCAGAGAGCACAAACCATCTGCAAGATACTCCAGTTCTGATTATATCTTGATCACTGAAGAGGGGGAGCTGGAGAACTTCCAGGAGGTGCAGTCTCACAAAGACAAAGACTGCTGGATGAAGGCCATGCAGGATGAAATGAACTCCCTACACAAGAACAATACTTATGAGCTTGTGGAACTTCCCAAAGGAAGAAAAACCCTGAAAAACAAGTGGGTATTCAAGCTCAAGAAAGATGGTGACAAGATAGTCAGATATAAGGCTCAATTGGTGGTAAAGGGCTTCAGTAAGAAAAAAGGGGATTGATTTTGATGAAATATTTTCCCCAGTGGTAAAGATGAGCTCGATTCGCATTGTGCTTGGTCTAGCAGCAAGCATGAATCTTGAGCTTGAGCAGTTGGATGTGAAAACTGCATTTCTCCATGGTGACTTGCATGAGGAAATTTATATGGATCAACCAGAAGGTTTTGAAGAAAAAGGGAAGGAACATATGGTTTGCAAGTTGAAGAAGAGTTTGTATGGACTAAAGCAAGCTCCAAGACAATGGTACAAGAAGTTTGATTCTTTTATGATGGGTCATGGTTATAAAAGAACAAATTCATATCCATGTGTCTACATCAGATTATTCCCTGATGGCAACTTCATTATCCTTTTGTTATATGTTGATGATATGCTAATTTTGGGACAAGATGTTGAGAAAATTTGCAGGTTAAAAGAGGAGTTATCAAAGTCCTTTGACATGAAGCACTTGGGACCAGCAAAGCAAATTCTGGGTATGGCTATTACCCGTGATAGAAAGGCTGGGAAGCTGTGGTTATCACAGGAAAAGTATGTTGAACGGTTGCTTGAAAGGTTCAACATGAAACATGCTAAGCCAGTTAGCACTCCTCTTGCAAATCACTTCAAGCTAAGTAAACGATCTTGTCCAACTACCAAAGAAGAAAAGGAGAAAATGTCACCTATTCCTTATTCTTCTGCAGTCGGTTCACTGATGTATGCAATGGTATGTACACGGCCAGACATTGCCCATGTTGTTGGTGTTGTAAGTAGATTCTTGTCTGATCCAGGCAAGATTCACTGGGAAGCTGTTAAGTGGATCTTCAGATATCTAAGAGGAACTACCAAGTTATGTTTGACATTTGGGCAACCTGAACCAATTCTAAAGGGATACACAGATGCAGACATGGCAGGTGACCTTGATAATAGAAAATCTATTTCAGGGTATTTATTTACTTTTGCAAGGGGAGCTGTATCATGGCAATCAAAACTGCAGAAGTGTGTTGCCTTGTCAACAACCGAAGCTGAATACATTGCAGCTACAGAAGCTGGTAAAGAGATGCTTTGGATGAAGAGATTCCTACAAGAATTGGGATTGAAGCAGAAAGAGTATGTAGTATTTTGTGACAGCCAAAGTGCTATAGATTTGAGCAAGAATACTATGTACCATGCCCGAACAAAACATATAGATCTGAGATATCACTGGTTGCGCTTGGTGACAGAGAACAAGCAGTTTCAACT